TTAATTTTTTTTTTTTTTTTTTTTTTACTAATTTATTAAATCATTTATTAAATCATCTCGTCATTCCTTAGATAATATATCTTATAATATTATCAAATGGGATAGAAAAAAAGAGGAGGAGGGAGAACAGATAAAAAGACAGAGCATTAAAATAAAAAAGTAATCATGCGATGACTGTCTTAGAAATGTCGACACTGTTTCTCTCTTCCCCTTTTGCCCTCGTTCTTTTTTCTACAAGCAAAAACACGGTAAAATATCAGCGGTGTTTCCAAAGATAATATTGTGCTTGCGCCATCTTTTCAACCGCGCCATTGTCTTTTTCTCGCCCGATGAAACACTTCGACGCGAGATGAAACGACAGTGAAAAGGTTTATTCAACAAATACGAAGGTTGAGCCATTTACAAGACACATAACTTGTATTTATGAGGAAGCAACAATTGTCTAAATCAGAGTAAAATAACCGAAGAAAATTAAAACGGGGAAGTGATTAGTCGAGATCATTCTTTCCTTCAATTGATATCCAAACGGATTAATGGTTCAGTTAATGGGAAGTAATTTCAAAGTGGAAATGGAAAAAGTTCAATTCCAATTCAGTTCAGTTGAGATATGTCATATTGTATAAAAAAAACATGCTAAATATTATATTTTCACAACGAATCATTGCATTCATAAAACTTTGAATTCTTATATTAAAAAAACGCGAAAAGAAATTAAAATATTGTCACCGAAACTTGGTCATCCGAATATAGAAAAAACCGTGTTATTGAAATCACTTTTTGTTTCATTATCTCAATTAATTATCGAGATATAACAAAATTCAAAGTTTCTTTCAACTGCTTAACACGTATTAACACGCGGAGATTATAAACGGGCCCGCGACTTAATCTATATTTTTTCTTGAAAATGCGTACTGCGTCTTTCCAGGAATCTTATTTATTAGAATTTAAAATAGGTCGATCGCACGAGTGCGAGCGAGAGATCCGAGTAAGAGATAAGAACGAAATGGTTAACGAAACGATTAAAAATTAAGCTTCTCTTTACACGACGATATCTCGGGAACCGGAAATCGTTTCGAAATAAATAAAAAAGCATTTTAAAGGACAAGGTTCCGCGCTTCTAACTATCTTTCATTAATTGACCGGAAGTAGCTATCTTCGAAGTTACAGCGGTTCAAAGTTTTTCTAATTTCAATAGGATTTAATCGAGTGTAAAATAATTAAAAATTAGTTCTTTCTTTACATGATGATATCTAGGGAACCGGAAATCGTTTCGAAATAAATAAAAAAGCATTTTAAAGGACAAGGTTCCGCGCTTCTAACTATCTTTCATTAATTGACCGGAAGTCGCTACCTTTGGAGTTATAGCGCTTCAAAATTTTTCTAATTTCAATAAGATTCAATCAAGTTCGAAGCAAATGAATAAAAACTATCCTTTCTTTATACGACGATATTTCGGGAACCAGAAATCGTATCGATATAAATCGAAAAGTATTTTAAAGGACAATTAATGTTTCATTAATTGACCGGAAGTCACTATCTTCGGAGTTATAATTTCAGTACAATTGAATCGGATTCAAGATTTAAGATGATAATTAAAAAATCGCGTTTCGCACTCACGTCAATATTTTACGAAATCGAGGAAAGCGAATACAATAAGTTGAAGCTCTCTCCGTTCTAATGCATATACCGCGAGGATTCGGCATCAAAAATGCTTTCCAGTTGATCCACGAATAAGTATATATATATACCGCTAACGCGAGCTTGTTGTATACCGGTGAACAGGAGTTGCATACAATCAGATTACACGGAAAGGTTATTAAGCGCAGTCTAATCAAGTTTGCCATCAAACAGCAAATCGTTTAACGTCGTTACACGGGCCGTGTAACGTGTAATAACTTTTGTCACGCGTTGCCAAGCTTTTCACCCCTCACCCGTGTCTACGTCACCAACTGTGTTTTAAATTGGATTTCTTAAAGCGTATACGAGGCGTAATTTCGCGGTGATCGAAACGTCCCTGCGAATTTTCGTTTTCTTCTCGCAACAATTGGGCGGAATTTCAATAATCGACAGAAATCTAAATTCCTCCTATTCCTCCGAATCTTTTTCCACCCCTTTCGAATTTTCAAAATTTTTTTTCCAATATCTAATTTCATTGCTCTCTTCAAAGAAAAAAAAAATTTTCGTTTTCTTCTCGCAACAATTGGGCGGAATTTCAATAATCGACAGAAATATAAAATCCTCCTATTCCTCCGAATCTTTTTCCATCCCTTTCGAATTTTCAAAATTTTTTTTCCAATATCTAATTTCATTCCTCTCTTCAAAGAAAAAAAAAATTTTCGTTTTCTTCTCGCAACAATTGGGCGGAATTTCAATAATCGACAGAAATCTAAAATCCTCCTATTCCTCCGAATCTTTTTCCACCCCTTTCGAATTTTCAAAATTTTTTTTCCAATATCTAATTTCATTTCTCTCTTCAAAGAAAAAAAAAATTTTCGTTTTCTTCTCGCAACAATTGGGCGGAATTTCAATAATCGACAGAAATCTAAAATCCTCCTATTCCTCCGAATCTTTTTCCGCCCCTTTCGAATTTTCAAAATTTTTTTTCCAATATCTAATTTCATTTCTCTCTTCAAAGAAAAAAAAATTGCCACATCTTCTCCCCTGATTAAAAATTTCGCGTGTTCACGGTTCACGGTGTCGCGAGCAAACGGAAACCGAAATAACGCGAGAAAAATATACGCAGCCGNCATCGTTTTCATTCATATCGGCCGGCCGACGTTAAATAAACCCTCGCCACGGCGAAAATTCACGGGCCCCCGAATTTTGGCCAACCTCCAAAAAAGTGGACTCGCCGTTCCGCGCCGATAAGCGCCACCGCTTATCCCCCTCCATTATCCGCAACGATTTCGACCAGATAGATTGTAATTTTCCAGAATTGAATAAATATAAATTTCTTGCCAACTTGTTGAACGCTACTTTTGATTAGGTTAAAGGCTCGATTAGAAAACACGCTATATTATTTATTATATATCGAGTATGGCAAACGATTGTTCGAAGTTACCAATTTCGTTGTTTTATAAATCGATGATCGAGGGAATGAAACGAGGCTTGTTCGCAAACCTCGCGTTTGTTAAAAGCGCCAAATTTCACGCGAAGAGAAATAAATTTCAATTCGCGACCGTCGCGATAAATCAATCTCGTTTAACGTTAACGTTACCCCAAGGATTTATATGTACTACTATATATATATATGTATGTATGTATGTATGTGTACGTACGAACGCATTTCTTATTCGCCCTCGATTTCTCTGAAGGTTTGTCTCTCTCTCGAAATGTGTACACTTTAATGGAAAGGAAAATCCATCCTTCGTGTTGGACAATTTTTCATCGATCTTTTATCAGCATCGAAAAAAATAGAGAATTATTTTATTACGTACGGTTCAATTTTTATTCGAAAAAACTATGGATGGAGGAGAAAGGGGATATTTTTATATATGATAAAAGTTATTTAATTAAAACGAAATTTTTCTTCTCGACGAGAAAAAATTATTTAATTATCGAACACGATTTTTTTATAAAGTCATATTTTATATTTCGTATCGTACGTAAAACTTCGGGTAAAATTTCCTTAAACTCGTTTATCCTCTTCCTTAGAGTTGCAGAGAATTTCACACGTTTTCAAACTCCTTCCACTTTAAGATTTTATCCGATTTATCCAATAAATATTATTTAATTACGGAAAACGCAATTTTTCTTTTCGACGAGATTCGAAAAAAAATTATTATTTTAGCACGACTTTTTTTTTTTTTATAAAGTCATACTTTTATATTTCGTGTATAAAACTTCGATGAAATCTATATAAATGGTTTTATTCGAGTTCAACGCGCGAATTTCGCACGTGCTCCGAACTCCTTCCACCACGAGATTATTCCACCCGAATAAAAATTGTCCGGCGCGCTGTTTTTCCAGGTACGATGGTTCCAACAGCAGCACGAGAAGAAACGAAAGAAGAGGGATTTCATGCCCTCGTCGTTCTCGTTCGATTATCCGACGTTTTTCGACGAGTTCGGCCCACGTCCCAGGCAGACCACGTACCATCGGCAAAGGAACAGAGGTGTGCCTCTTCAAAACCTGTTCACGGATCCTCTCTTTAAGGAACAGTGGTACCTGGTAAGTGGCCCCTTCGATTTTACTTCCATGGAACCTCGAGCGAAACGAACTCTCGACGTGACGAGACTCTGTCACCTCTGGGATGCGTGCTTGCTGGACACGACAGGATTCCGTTCCAGATCTATACCACCATTCCATCCCGTTTATCCAATCCGTTTCTATCGAATTTTTCATCGATTCTATTCTCTCGATGTGCCGTAACAATAATGGTAAAAAAAAAAAAAAAAAAAAAAAAAAAAAGGGAAACGTAATAATAGGAATATTTATTTTCTAACAATTTCTCGACAATTTTTAACTTTGGTAAATTCATTTCGTGCACGGTACTTGAAAAGAGAGTAATGTATAATTGTACAATTGTATTTTTTAAAATTTTTCGAATATTTTTAATCGTTGTTGAAATTTCTATTGGAAAAATATTAGAAAAATTTCTAATAAAGAAGAAAAAAAAAACAAAATTTGGATATATTTGGAAAAATGAAATTTATTTTACGTTTATTTTACGAAAAAGTGTAATTTTTTTATCCAAAATCGGGAACGATGTATGACGATGAACAATGAAACTCGAGTATTGGCCGCGACAAAAAGAATGTTCGATATCGTTGGAATTTTATTGATGAAACAATTTGTCAGAATTTCGTTTCTAGAATGAACGATTGAAAAAAAAAAAAATTATTTCCAAAATGAATACGTACACATTCCATCAATCGATTCGATTAGAAGAATCGATGTATCGAATGATCGAATAAATTAAAAATATTAGAGATAAAAATACCTACTTTAAATAATTAAACTCGACTTTTAAAAACTTTTCTTTAAAAAATCTCTAAAAAAAAAAAAAAAATCACAACGAACGTCTCTTTTCCTCGGATCGATTTTTTAATTTTTCCTCTAGCGAAACATCGAGATTTTTCAAAAAAGGAAAATAGATAAAAGGAGAAGGAGCAAAGCGTGAAATCGTTGGTGATCGCAACGATGGTGTGTTATCGAATACCTGTCGTTAATTTCAGAAACGACGGGGGCCAAGCAATCGCCGCTAACTATACCGAAAACGATCGTTTCGGGCGACGTGAGGAGAATTATGAACAGCATCGCATGAGAAAGCACGCCCTTTGCCCGCGCTCAAATTTCTCCCCTCGGTATCGACAACGGATCGAGGGAGCACACACACACACACACATACACATACCGTAATATCGGCGTATAATGGCGTTGCTTTGGATTTCTACGCGGCGAAATACCTCGAAAACTAATTAGACCGCGAGATGGGGATCATTTGTAATTCTGATTCGAATATTTTCGCAAGTAATAATACCAATCCTTCGCTCGAATCCTCAAATCATCGATCGAAGCTTTATTTTCGAAAAAGATTTGGAAAAATATCGTTTTTTTCTTGGATCGTATCAAATTTAGTTAATTTGAAATACACTTTCGATCGTTGAAAGTGTTTTCAGGATTCAAAATTTGTCCAAAAGATGGACAAATATTATGAAGAGTATTATTATGCAAAAAGGAATAAATTTCTTTCCTCCTTTCTTATAATTTATAATCAAAATCTTTTTATTTTCGCCGAGTTAATTCGCGGTTCACAGTTTCCATAGATTTCTCGTTGAATATTCTATATCTGAAAAACGCTTCCATTTTTCTTGTTCTGGTTCGCCTCAT